TTAGTGCATTTACACCAAGTTCCTTGAGGCATGGTTTGACAGTGCTGGAAAAGCAGTGCTGTTGAATCTCTCGTTCTAGTTTGCCAATGTATGGACAATGGGCTTCGTTGTCCCCTGGACGTCTGCGTGCAACACAGCCATTAATGGGAGGATTGTACATGCACTGCAGGGAGAATAGGGCCTCAATATCTCTATGCATCTAAATGAGTGCCACACTTTTCAGAATAATTGATCTTTTTGCGACCAGTCAGATATTCCCAATGCAATGTCCATTGCCAGCAATGGATGCTTTGAGACTACCAATGTCAAGGTGTTAATGCTGGCATCATACCTTTGAATTCAATTTAATTAGATATAGTGTCTGATAAATGTTTTATACATTGACTCTGTACTGAAATCTTTGCAGCCAAACTATTCTGTTTCCCGTTTTTAAATAAACTGTTGCAGATCAGTGATGACGTGGTTTCTTTCTTCCACAAGTCTGGTGAGTGCTCTCCCAACCTCAATATAATCTGAAAACCTCTCCAATAGGTTATACTACCTCTGCATTACTACAGCATACCATTCACCACTGACATCCGGAGTCCAACCTAGCTACATGGCATCTGTCAGACACAACAGCAGTGCCTCCACTATACTAGAGCATTGATGAATACATCACCTTCTAACCAGCACTGATCAAAAATGTTTCAGCAAAACATTCTTGTCATAGACTCACCCTCCTGGAGCACCTCCTCATGGCAAGACCCAGCACTGCAGCCCCTCCACCTCACCTTCCTCCTCCAGACTTTGGTGCTCTGTGTGGTGACTTAGTCCTCTGGCCAGGTCACACCAAGAGTCCCATCCCTTCTTGGGTAACAATGTCCCAACTCAAAACCCAGAGGAATGAAAATCCTGGGTTCAATCTTCTGCAGATTCTTCGCTCATCTCCCGGGCTCTGCAGAGTTCTTCACTCAATTACTGAGCAAGGCCTCCCAGGGCTTTCTCCTTGGAGGCCCAGTTTATCACGAGCTGTTAACTCTCAGGGCTTTTTCCCTGGAGTCTCCCTCTGCTCCCAGACCTGCTGTAGGAGTCTCCTTCTCTCCAACTGCCCTCTCCCTTCAGGGACAATCCCAGGCTAGATACTTCCTGCAGGCCCCTTTCCCAGAGAGGAAGTTCCAAACTCCTCCCTCCTGGATCTCCTCCCCCTATTGCTTTGCACACCTTCCTTTATAGGAACCACCCAGCCTGGTTCTCCCCAGCTTGGTCTAATCCTTAATTACCTGTCTCCCCTTCAGGTGCCACAGAACAGGCTAATTGTCCCTGCCAATGTGGGGTTTATAATACCATCACAATTCTGAAATAGGAATGTGGCTAATCCTTGGAGTTACTGAGTGATTCACCCTCGGTCACGTCAGAGGTGTAGATCCAAAAGACTCCGGTTTTATTGTACAGTACACATACAATAGTTTTTATATTTTAATCTTTAGTGTGAAGATTTAAAATGTATTGCAGTTAACTTTACTACAAGAACATACATAACAGGTGCAGATTATAATATTTTAGTCCAGCAGTCACAGATTTTGGTTAGACATCACAAACTCAGAAGTACTATAAAACAAGAAATCCGCAGTCTGCAGAATACATGCCGTGTAATAGGGAGTGGGCTTGTCCCTTTAGTATTAATACATTTCTTCATTCATTCTATATAATCCTTAGCACTAAGAGTGCTTTACAAACTAAGAACGAAACACCTCTTAGAACAACTGCTTTAGTCACAGGTTTATCTGCGAACCAATGCCTCCCCTGCTATATGTTTCAAATTAACACTTAACTGCATCACCCAATACAAAACGTTTGGCATTGGGAACTCCGAACATGGAAGGTTAAACAATTTTTGCTAATGTTGTGTGGATAACTGTGAGGGTAAGGACCAGGACCCAAACCCTAGAGAAAACATATAGCAGTTTGTTTTGTAATAAGGAAGGATATTAAGGAAGTGATTAATATTCCCCTTGAATATGAGTAAGCTGCACATATCGCAGTTGCTAAAAGCATTGCCATCTTCAAGTGTAGTCAGTGAGCATTAGTGATTTATTTTAAATATAGATTTAAAACTGTGAAAGTATACAATGGACAGCAGCTTTTGGTAAGTAATACAAGCTTAGCCTTTTGAACCAAATTCATCCTTGATATAACACCACAGAGGACAATCGAGTGACAGCAAGAATGAATTTGACTTTCTGAATTTAGAGCAAAGGAAAATGCACACATCTTAGTCGTAAATTTCTTTCTATGAAAGAGAGAGTCTCCCCTGACTCCAGCACTATGAAGAACACATAGGTATTGGCAAATCCATCACACCAAAAGACTCTGCCCTAAAGAAGTCCACAGATCCTATCACATCTACTTTACATCCTATGCCATTTATTTTTCCAAAGGTGGAATCTGGGGAAAGATGAATGTTTCCAAGCTGTTCTGTAGTTATTTCCCATAACTCTCTTGATTGCTCAGCCTCTCAAATCTGATATTGTAACTCTGTAGACAACCATGTGCTCTACAAAGCAGGACTCTAGTGAAATATTTGTCAGATTAACAGTTAAAAAGAGACACTTTAAGACATTTGATTATCCATATAGTATAAAGTTCAGAGTCTATGGGTGTCTCTTCCCTTAAGTAAAGTACTAGCAAGCCCTGGCCTAATCCACTGAATTTCAAATATTAGAGAGGAAATAAGAGTCCTCACTGCATCTCTTCTCATAGTACAAAGATATTCACATTCATATCTACATGCACATGTTTAACCATGTATTTGCATTTTCCATTGCTAAACTCAACAGTGGCCTCTGCAGGAAACAGCTGACAAGATTTGAGCTGGTCTGGAAGACAACTACTGTCCATGAAGTACTCAATTTTTGCATATTCACAAGCAGATATAATGCCAAGTGTCCTATTGCCATCTTCCCAGGAAATTCTCTTGAACTGGGACTGGTGAATCAGCTGAAAATACCCCGCTGCTCAGATTCAGCATTGGGCTCCTTCCTGTGACCAAGGGCATGGGGAAAGGGGCTGCATGCTTCAGACTAGGAAGAATCAGCATAATGAATTGTGAATGCTCGTGGGCCTGAAGTGCCTGTGCTTTAGTCCTTCAACCAAACTCTAGAGAGAATAAGCATAGTGGACTGGTCCCAGCAGTGGCCACTTAAGATTGCCTTCATTTGTGCAGTTCCTTGTGCCCATACCTGAAGGATGGGCCAAGGGCTAGAGAAGAACAAGAGCTGTCCTCAAGTGCTATTAAACTGTGACAAAAGTAATACTGTCTAGGTTATTGTGCAGATTGATAGTCACGGTGGAAGACAGACAAGCTCTCTAATTAGATCAGAGAGTCCATCCCTTCGCAAGTGCCATAGCGGAGGCAGTGCACAGAAGGTGTTAAAACAGTTATGGTAGCTTACTACAGCAGAAAGTAAAGCAGCCAAAGGCAGTTAGTATTAGGAAAGCAGCTAACTAACCAGGAGCCTTGCACAGGGAGTGCTTGTCTGCACTAACCTTTTCCCCTAACATTTTTCACCATTACTATCTCTGGTGCAGCTTCACTGGTGGTAGCAACAGCAAGTGCTCTCGTGTAGAGCAGCCAACAGCATTTTAGCCACTAGGTTGTATGAGTTTGCTCTAAGCAGGACTAGACAACAGGGGATAGGTCTTCCCTGCAGCGTTAACCCAGCTCCCATCCACACACAAAAACCTCTCACCCAAGTGTGGTGTTGCTTTACACCTGGGCTCATTGGCCCAGCTGTGGGTATAGGCTAAAGCTTATTGAGCTGGTAACCTACCAACTCTGCAGCAAGGACACAGGTTAAATCACTTAAGTGTTGATACTCCTCCAATGCCTTCCCACAATTCCCCTCCTGCACCCAGGACAGACAAGTTCTCCCATTATTCACTGGGAAAGAATCACAGTGTGGTTCAGCTTACTGCAGTGCTAAGAACCATGGGGTATCATGTGCCTCCGGAAGTCCTAACATCTCAGACAGGTGACTGCAGCACCACTGAGTACATAGTAACTTGGGTAGTGCTCTGCAGTGTGACCTGTTACACCTGAGCTAGGCTAAGCCAGGCACCAATCACCCAAGTTAATTCTGCAATGAAGACATGCCCAAGGTGGTTAAAACACTAGAAGCTGTTTAGTGCCCTGTCTACACGACAACATCCACTGGTGCTACCACCACCGAGGTTCCATCAGTAATAGCAAAGGTGCAAAATTGTAGCATGGACATAGCTAGTGTCTTCCTACAAGATTTATAGGTATGAGTCTGAAGGCTCTTTTGGTTCACTCGAAGGGTCCTAGAGCCCAGGCTCCAGCCCAAGCCCAGAAGTCTACACTGCAATTAAACAGCCCCACAGCCCAGGCCCCATTAACCCAAGTCAGATGGTACAGGCCAGCCATGGGTTTTTAATTGAAGTGTAGACATACACTGAGTGTCATGGAAACTGAGCTGAGAAGGTAGTCTTTCCATTCAAACAAAGGGAAAAGGCTTGGCTCAGACTGAAGTGTTTAACAGTTACCAGATCCGCCAACTGGGTTTTGTTATGCAAAAGAGTAACCACACCTCCAGTCATATTGCAGGTACTGTAGAGGGTAATGGCAGGTGTGTCAATGGGTAGGGTATTATATCACATTGGGCAATTCCAAGCCCTGGGTATCAATGATCTAATGGAGAACTGGCAAGTAAACATTGAATATTAGTTCCTGGCATGCCCTGCCTTCACCCTCACACTACCTATCCCCCTTCAATTGTAAGGGAATTGAGTACTTTTGAAAAGTATCAAACTGAGAGCCTCAGAGATTGAAATCCTCTATATATCAACCAGGAAAACAGTAGTGCAACTTCTGTGAACTGCCCAGACATTATACATCCACTCTGGCCTGGACTGAAGTGAATAGGTAGCATAGACTCTGTGCCCATTCACTCCTTGCCTTGCCTTGCCTAGCCTAGAGAAAATGTCAACAAGGGTGTCAAGAAGGGTGATTGCTGCGGCAGTTTTTGTGATGTGGATATTTGTTCACTGGGAATTAGACAAAGACCAGCTCATTTTGGACATACCAAACAGTTATCAGATGGTGGTAATTTTGGGCCACATTCAGAACATTGTCCTATAGGTGAAAAGCTCTGCATACAAGTCATTTAAGGAATCCTTGATACTTATAACTGGTGTTGAACAATCTGCATGTTTCACCATCTGATATTTAAACCACTGTTCTTTCCAAATTCCTCAGGCGACAGGAGAGAGAACTTCAGCTCAATGTAGAAACGATGAAGGACAGAAAAACAATGGTGTACATCTGATCAATGGCAGAATAATGCCAGTTAACTACCATACCCATTGCTCTGCCCTACCCCCTCAGCAGAGGCCAAACTCCCCATGCTGTCAGTGTTAATTTGCAACTGCCTGAGTAAAGGAGCATTCAGGGTGAAAGCTGCAGTAACAAAAGCTGGAGGAGGTACTATTTGTCTGTGGTTTGTTTCAGACATTCTTAACAGCTCCCTTTGTGATCAGTAGCCGCTGCAAGTTGCAGTCTGTGAGGATAAGAGTGCAGTGAGCAGAATGACAGACCTGTTTAAGCAGAGTTTAAATCCACAGCTTTGGGATGTGATTTCCTGGAGGCCAGCTCAGACAGCTTTTTCAGACGTTTCTTCAGCTCCAGAGGGAATTTTTCATAGCATTTCTTGCACACTGGCTTCATGTCAAACTCCACAAACTTGTTCCTTTCAAAGAAACACTGAGCTATTAAAAACAGCACTTACAAAACTACAGTCATGGCTTGATGTTCAGTAATCAAGTATGTGTGTGTCTGTGTGAATGTGGTGGCTTGATTTCTACCACATGTATAAAACCCCTCATTTCAACACACAGATGCCAATCTTGCCAGGTATGTTCACATATCAGAATTTAACGCACACGTGTGGTAGTGTTCATGCCAAGTTAGGTGCCCAACTGTGTGAACACAGATACACATGGACTGATCACTGGAGATCAGGTCCACATGTTTACCAATAATGAAATGTCCAGCCTTGGAACACTTTGTGATTGGCTCTTAGCAACACTTCTGCTTGGCTGCTTTCCAAAACTTGGGGGCAGCAGCTTTGCATTGGCAACAGGAAGACATTTTGATTCTTCACACTCTTCTCCCCTGTGCTGCCAAGTGCACCTCAGCCTGCTATGAATGCCCCTTGCTAGCTAGTACCAGGGTGGAAGCACATTAATTTCCCCTGTACATATATCCACAGTGCTTTTCTTCTGTTGCAGTTCAATGGCTTTCCTATGTTTGCTATTTCACAGAAATCATAGAACTGGAAGGGACCTCGAGAGGTCATCTAGTCCAGACCCCTGCACTCAAGGCAGGACTAAGTATTATCTAGACCATCCCTAACAGGTGTTTGTCCAACCTGCTCTTAAAAATCCCCAATGATGGAGATTCCACCACCCCCCTAGGCAATTTATTCCAGTGCTTAACCACTCCGACAATTAGGAAGTTTTTCCTAATGTCCAACCTAAACTGCCCTTGCTGCAATTTAAGCCCATTGCTTCTTGTCCTATCCTCAGAGGTTAAGAACAACAATTTTTCTCCCTCCTCTTTGTAACAACCTTTTATGTACTTGAAGACTGTTATCAAGTCCCCCCCTCAGTCTTCTCTTCTTCAGACTAAACAAACCCATTTTTTTCAATCTTCCCTCATAGGTCTTGTTTTCTAGAACTTTAATCATTTTTGTTGCTCTTCTCTGGACTTTCTCCAATTTGTCCACATCTTTCCTGAAATGTGGTGCCCAGAACTGGACACAATACTCCAGTTGAGGCCTAATCAGCGTGGAGTAGAGCAGAAGAATTACTTCTCGTGTCTTGCTTACAATACTCCTGTTAATACATCCCAGAATGATGTTTGCTTTTTCTGCGACAGTGTTACACTGTTGACTCATATTTAGCTTGTGATCCACTATGACCCCCAGATCCCTTTCTGCAGTACTCCTTCCTAGGCAGTCATTTCCCATTTTGTATGTGTGCAACTGATTGTTCCTTCCTAAGTGGAGTACTCTGCAATTGTACTTATTGAATTTCATCCTATTTACTTCAGACCATTTCTCCAGTTTGTCCAGACCATTTTGAATTTTAATCCTATCCTCCAAAGCACTTGCAACCCCTCCCAGCTTGGTATCATCCGCAAACTTTATGAGTGTACTCTCTATGCCATTATCTAAATCATTGATGAAGATATTGAACAGGACCAGACCCTGAACCGATCCCTGTGGTACCCCACTTGTTATGCCCTTCCAGTATAACTGTGAACCACTGATAACTACTCTCTGGGAACGATTTTCCAACCAGTTATGCACCCACCTTATAGTAGCTCCATCTAGGTTGTATTTCCCTAGTTTGTTTATTAGAAGGTCATGTGAGACAGTATCAAAAGCCTTACTAAAGTCAAGATATACCACATCTAGTGCTTCCCCCCTATCCACAAGACTTGTTACCCTGTCAAAGAAAGCTATCAGGTTGGCTTGACACGATTTGTTCTTGACAAATCCATGCTGACTTGTTATTTATCACCTTATTATCTTCTAGGTGTTTGCAAATTGATTGCTTAATTATTTGCTCCATTATCTTTCCAGGTACAGAAGTTAAGCTGACTGGTCTGTAATTTCCCGGGTTGTCCTTATTTCCCTTTTTATAGATGGGTACTATATTTGCCCTTTTCCAGTCTTCTGGAATGTCTCCCATCTTTCATGACTTTTCAAAGATAATTACTAATGGCTCAGATATTTCCTCAGTCAGCTCTTTGAGTAATCTAGGATGCATTTCATCAGGCCCTGGGGATTTGAAGACACCTAACTTGTCTAAGTAATTTTTGACTTGTTCTTTCCCTATTTTAGACTCTGATCCTACCTCATTTTCACTGGCATTCACTATTTTAGATGTCCAATCGCAACCAACCTTCTTGGTGAAAACCGAAACAAAGACGTCATTAAGCACCTCTGCCATTTCCACATTTTCTGTTATTGTCTTTCTCCCCCATCATTGAGTAATGGGCCTACTGTGTCCTTGGTCTTCCTCTTGCTTCTAATGTATTTGTAGAATGTTTTCTTGTTTCCTTTTATGTCTCTAGCTAGTTTGATCTTGTTTTGTGCCTTGGCTTTTCTAATTTTGTCCCTACATACTTGTGTTATTTGTTTATATTCATCCTTTGTAATTTGACCAAGTTTCCATTTTTTGTAGGACTCTTTTTTGAGGTTTAGAGCATTGAAGATCTCCTGGTTAAGCCAGGGTGGTCTTGCCATACTTCCTATCTTTCCTACGCAGTGGGATAGTTTGCTCTTGTGCCCTTAATAATGTCTCTTTGAAAAACTGCCAATTGTTTTCAATTGTTTTCCCCCTTAGACTTGCTTCCCATGGGATTTTACCTACCAACTCCCTGAGTTTGCTCAAGTCTGCCTTCTTGAAATCCATAGTCTTTATTGTGCTGTTCTCCCTCCTACCAATTCCTTAGAATCATGAACTCTACCATTTCATGATCACTTTCACCCAAGTTGCCTTCCACTTTCAAATTCTCAACCAGTTCTTCCCTATTTGTCAAAATCAAATCTAGAACAGCCTCCCCTCTAGTAGCTTTCTCCACCTTCTGAAATAAAAAATTGTCTCCAATACATTCCAAGAACTTGTTGGATAATCTGTGCCCTGCTGTGTTATTTGGCACCTTTACTTCCCCCTCAGTTACACGAGTCTCTCTCATGAGGGAGATAAAGACTCCAGCAGCCATGAACGTCAGTGGGTCACAATCAGACAGTGATCTAGGTATCACAAATGGTGACTGCAGCAGAATCAGGCCACTGCATTAATTTGGTTGGCAAAAATCAATAAGTGGAATTTCACTAGCAGAGTCAGTGTCCCAGACACTCGAGTCATGTTTAGTCTAGAGCCCACTCAGTCTGAGACTTGCCAATTCCTTATCCCCCAATAGCCTCATATTCCCAGACTTCCTGCCATTCAGCTTCCACCAAGTTTACTGTGGTTAATGTTGCTCCATTAAGCAGCAGCAGCAAGAAGAGTTCACTACAATGTGGCCCAGCCCCAGGAATGTGCCCAGCCTCCATTAATCCAGGGAAGGGAAGGCTGTCTCTGAGATAGGCACATGATAAACTAATTTTCTAGACGTTTGAACTAACTTTGCCACTGTGTTTCCTAAGTCCCAGTTCTTATAGGTGACCTGTAATATTGTCTTAAAGCATGGCCTATACGTAGTATGCTTTTAATGCCTCAAACATTAAACACAATGCTGAGTGGGTACCTCTGGAATCATGCTGGCTGGTGCGACAGCCTGGAATGTCCAATGCTGCATGTCAGTTACCAAACAGCCCAGTTGCAGCATGGAACTGGGGGCTTAGGGCAGTGTCATTTTACTATGGAGTGAGACTTTGCTAAGCGTTTTATCAGTATAAAAGAATAAAGAATTTAAAAACACTTTCCAAAACCCACATTCTATAATGAAAACACCATTCCCTTGAGCCCCTAAGTCCATTGATAACTGAGGCATGTTGGGCCATCACAGCAGAGCTGGGGTGATATCAGAGGCCCTGAAACTAGGAAAGGGGCATTTAAAGTTAGTTTGTATTCATTGTCCCTGTGCCACTTACTATTTGAGGCATTTAGCACACAACTCCTTGAAAATGGGCTCAGTTACCTTTCCATAGGGGAAACCTTTCTAGGGAAAAGCTGTACATACTGCAGGAAAGGATACTATTCTACAGCTGCAGGATACCAGCACCGTTCCCCTAGGCTGCTGAAAGAGTTAGCCTAGGTCTGCAAGTATCTACTTACTTCAGTGTGAGCTTGATGTTGCAGGTGGAGCAGGAGAAGCAGTTCACACACCAAGCCTTGTTGAGAGCTGATACCACTGCGCAAAATAAGAGCAAACAACCAGATTATCTAGTCTCAGAGTCCGATCCCAATTCAGTGAGCCCAGATGTAAAAAGAAACACTGGAGCCTTGCAACTGCAGGACTGCAACAGCTGCATTGTCAGAATGGGAGAGCAACCCAAAACAAGGAGAGAACAAATCTTACCATCCCCCTCGATCACGTGGCTGCAGTTGTAACAGACATCTCCGAAGAGCTGCATGCAGAAGGAATAAAATGGGAACTTATTTTACTGACTATGAAGGAGTCTGCCCATGCTCCCCAAATTAGACAGCTGGTGCAAACATCCAACTTCTGATGGATGCAGCAGCACCCTAAAATTCATTTACTTCTCCTGAATAGCTTCTCATACACTTGCCCATTGGTCTATGGTCATTCAGAACTTGTATTCTCAAATCTTAGTTTTTTTTGTTGATGCCTCATATTCTTGGTACCATTATAACATGATCTCTGAGCCTTATATGCCTGGGAATTTGGGAGACAATGTCAATAGATCACAACACTGATCAAAGATAAATATCTCCTGATCATAAACCATAAACACAGAGGTAAAACCAAGAGCACTATTTTAAAAGCAGTTGATATTTAGCCTTTAACAACTCTACAAGGGAAATGTAATATTTTGTCTGATGGAAACTGGTGTAGAGTCATGGCTGCTCATTGTATCTTTATGATAATGTTATCTTTATATCAGCTTACAGGACAGATCTTTTCTGTGCTTTAGCCAACTAGATGCTATGGCATTTATTTTAAACAATTATAAATAGGCTGGCTTCACATGGGTTATAGAATGTTTTCGATTCTTAACAAAAGGTTAGCCAAGCAGCCATCTGATTGGTTAACACTCATTTTATTTGGTATAATTACAGAAATTTTAATTTGTTTGCTATGTTGTTATAGCTGTATTGCTCCCAGGATACAAGAGACAAGGTTTGTGAGGTAATACCTTGTATTGGACCAACTGCTGTAGATGAAAGGGACAGTAATTTTTTCTTTCAACAGGGAAGATCCCTGTCCCCATTACATTTTCATTCTCTAATCACTGCCACTTTCCCTAGAATTATACATGTCAACACACATCTGCCACGGAAAACATTTTTCCTTTTTCAATTAGATTCCCCACCACCAGAGGCTATTGATATTTCTTAACAACTCACTCCAGATAACAATGCATTTCTGGTTATATGGTGCATGGGAAAAATACTGTGCTTATTTCCCAAATTTCAATAGGGGGCATTCTTTCTCCCCAGCTCTTCAGTCGAGAGAGGTGCCTGCTGAATGGGTGCAGGACAGCAGTGCTTACCTGGTTGTAGTGAGTCTCGCAGTAAGCCAGTCCTTTTTTCTCATAGTGGCGGTGCCCCAGAAATGGCTTCTCACATTTGGCACAAACAAAATGCTGCAAAAGTAAAGGGCATTCAGTGTCGGTGGAAGGGCCTCCACAACTAGAAGACATACATGGTCGCTACCCCCGAAATAAGCCAGTGATTTGCACAAGAGTTTTACATCTTTATACAAAGACAGACAAGAAAACCCTGCAAGAATCTTGTGGGATGGTGATGGTGGGACGCTATGACAAGCTAAACGACAGTCACAGGAACAACGTCACAGCAAGGTTAGAAGATAGTAGTAAACACACCTGCACTCTGGCTACACAACAGAGTCTACCACTACCATCATCTGTTGAGCTGCACTGTACAAAAAAAATTGCTTCCAAGATTTGGAAGGTGAGATGTGTGACTCAAGAACCTCTTAATGCCAACTGGCAAAGGGATGCAGAGCGGTTACAGGAATCTCCTGATTTTGGTATGTACATTCTGGTTCAAAGAATGTCTCGTGAGGTCTCAAATGAAAGCTGGTGCCATGCTGGTTATCAATATTGTTGTGACATGTGTGTACAGATACTATGTAAGGAGTTATATAGTTATACACACACACACACACACACACACACACAAAATATGTTCTTAAAGTCTGTGTGGGAGAGTTGGACAGCATCAAAGGTGAAAAACAAGTTTTCTGTCAGACAAAAGGTGTTTATTCATCTCTCTGTTTACATGTAAATTGAATATTGTCTCATTCACTACTGGTCACTTATTGCCAGTCAGAACTAAATGCAAAGAAGGATTCTGCAGAATTCAGAGAAAAAGTCTACCAGGAAGAGAAAAGCAATGGTGCTTAGGGGAGATGGGGGGGAGGGAACCCTATCTAGAGATATACCTCAAAGGTTTGCTCCACTATATTTGGGAGGCAAAGACAACATCCTGGCACCCTTCACTAAGGGAATAAAAGGACAGTGCTTCTGCTTCATGAAGAAGAGTCTTGGTTGAAAATGCTGAAGAGAATTTTGGGTGAGAGAAGCTTCTTTAGACAAGACAGTAACTTGTTAGTTAAGATTAGTCTCTAGAAAGCATGTTATATTTTGTTTTACACATAACCATTTGTTGCCAATATTCTCTATTTCTTTGATAATATATTTATAGTGAAAACAAGAATATATTTTTCTAAGTGATGTGGTAGTAAGCAAAGTGCTGGCTCTGAGATGAATCTTACATGCTGGTGTGTCTTGTTCCTTTGGGAAAGGCAGACCTGGTAATTTTGTGAGTGTCCCACGGATAAGGGACTGGATACTACAGGGATTCAGGAGTTGGTGTGTGCCTATGGCTACCTGTACAGTGAGAATGAGGACAGGAAGGTAGTGCTTGTGCTACCAGAGGCTGGTGGTTTCAGGGAGCTGATCCACCACAGGCAGACTCAAGCGTGCTTCACACTAAGGACAGGTGGTGGTGAGGTGTCTCACAACCTGGGTACCCCTGGGAAGTGTCACAGCGATGTTACAGTTTGTTACTTAGAGCTGGAGGGAAGGACATAGAGAGGATGTACATAACTTCAGTGGTAAATGCTATTTTGCAGACCCCAGAATCTTTGCAATGTAATGCAGAAATTGTAAAATAATTTTCCTGAGAGTAAATTGAACAATGGTATTGTTATTGTGCAAAAGATGAAGTGCACCATTCACAACTCTAGTGCATGTGACTTACCCAGGTAAAGCTCACCCCAGGTAAATACAGTCTGAATTCGGCCTAAACAGGAATGGTGGAAATTTCTAATGTTCACCATAACAGCCTCCAACTTGCATTAGACCTCTGGCAGTATGCATTCCACAGGCAGCTTCACACTGATCTCACCTCAACATGCCATTGCTTCCCCAGAGCATTGACCACTCGTCCTTCGATAGGCCTGCGACAGGCTCCACAGATTGGGATACCCATCTTGTCATGGCAGGGTAGGCAATAGAGTTCCCCTTTCAGCTCCCTGGCCTCAGCAGTCAGCTCCTTCCTGAAAACAAACACAAACAAGTGTTCTTGAAGCAACAACACTGACCCAAGCCCCAGCCAACAGCTGTTTCACGATTAAACCTTACATGAGCTTCCCTCCAGACGTGAATATCTAAGATGAAGCTGTGGAAGAGTGAACTTCAAAGCCAACTTCCATGCTTTGGCCCCCATCTACACTATAAACACAGGCATCCTGAATTATGCTTGTGAAACATGACTGTGGTCAAACCACTTTATAACATGCTAGTTATCTAATAGGTCTTTCTGTCCACAAATGCAAGGCTAAATCATGCGGAGCAGTTTGGCCACAACCATGTTTAAACAAGGTATTTTTGTAATGTAAACAGGACCTTTGAGAGTGGCTCATTTCCAGGAACTGCCCAGTAGACGATGGTGCCCAGTAAGCAATGCATGGAGGAAGGAGAACCCTATATAGCTGAACAGAAGAACTCCAATTCTTCTATCCTTTTGATTCCAACTTTTTTGATCTTTCACATACAGAACTTCTTGTCTGCCGGACAACTTAAAGGCTGCAAAGTGTAGCTGATGATTACAGAGTCCAGAAAGAGACTGAACTGTTGTCCATACAGTATATTTCCCTGGTTTATTGATGGAAGCTGGGAGAGGAGAACATACCCGCAGTGGGTGCAGTTGAAGTGATCTGGATGATAGGAGTCATTCCTGAACATCAGAGGCTGCTCATCAATTATCAGGTGGCACTTCTGACAGATATACTTGCCTAGCCCCTTGGCTTTCTCCCGATTATGGCAAGGCCTGCACAGGTGCCTGGGTGAGAATTGGAAAGAAAGGGTAGCATTAGCACTGTAGAGTCTTTCTAGAAGAGAGTCGTGCTCTGCACATTTTTGGTTAGGGTTACAGGTTTCTGTAACCTTCTTCCAAAGACAGCAGCCACTGTTCTAACCCCACTGCTCTAGAGGATGGGAGTTAAACATCATCTAATGGTGCTAGTGTTAACCAAATCCTGAGGTAGCCTTGTAACTCCATCTGCCCCATTCAGATACAGTTAGGTATTTCCTAGGCCTCCTTATGTGGCATTTCTTCTCTTCACTACAGGTATCAAGTACAGTAAAAACAGTAGACAGTTTAGCGGTCTCTAATTGCAAGTGTGTGCTCAGCTTACAAACACAATGGAGACTGCACGTGGGCCCGAATCACTATGCATGAAGCGGCTGCTTTTGTACGTAGCAATAAAGACACTCATAGGTGTGCATATCAGAGTAGCTAATAAGTGTCTTATCAACACAGTGGAGAGCTTGTGTGCACATATGCATGTAAGTATATTCCTACAAATCTATAAATGTGTTTGTGTTTACATAAATCTATGCACACAATCCTCTGACTGCTCTGTTGAAGGGAGTTCACTCTCAGTGCTCCTCTTCAAGGTACTTTGCTAAAGTGCCTCCACCATGGTTGGATCCATTAGTCCTCACTAACCAGGACAAACCAGAGAGTCTTTGAATCATAGCCCTTCTACCCAAAAGCTCCCTATTAAGTTTAAGACAAACAAGGGAGTCTGCAGCTCTGTGCTGAAAACACTTAATATTTTTCAAACTGCAACAGAAGCACAAGTCCTGGTCGGGCATGCGACTGACATTGCTGGGAGTGAAGTCTGTGACAAAAGGGATAAAAGATAAACAGCTGTAAAGGTCAGTGCGCCTGTTTACACAGAGACCAATCAAAAAACAAGGAGCTGAATCAGCCAGTTTGATGCCCAGTATTTAAAAGCTCTCATGGGGTGGTCTTTAGTTTAGTTCACCCATCGGCCGTCTTCCCAGCATTAGTGTTGTTTGCTGGGTGCGGAGGTTTGGCTAAATTGAACACATAGCAGGCAAATGGGGGAAATAATCTATGCCTGTTTTTTCACCATTGTCCAACCTGACAAAAGCATGCTTAGTTCCCCCTCACTACAGTCACATGTACATCCCTGGTTAAGATTTAAAGGTATTCTCCCAAAGAGCCCATCAACTACAGGGAAAAACGGTAAAGGAAAGGTGGTGTCATAGCTAATGCAACAAACTAACTAGGAGTCAGAAGATCTGGCTTCTATTCCAGGCTCCCTCTTGGATTTCCTGTGGGACTTTGGGCAAGCCGCAGGTTTCCCCATCTGTAAAATGGGGCTAAGAATAATTCCATGTGGCACAGGGGTGTTGTGTGGCCTCAAACATTTATGATCCTCAGATGGAAAGCGCCTGCATAAGCTGAAAGTATGATTATTATTTTCTCACTTTTGAAGTCCTCTCTTGTGTAATAGTCTCTTTGCAGGGCTGGAACCACTGTCCTCCCAGACGGAGCCACAGTCCCCACAAAAAGCAGACAGCGCCCCATTATAAGAGATCATGCAGCTGTGCTCATCTCTGGATAAAGGCATCAATTTTATTCAGCACTGTCAAATGGGGACTAATTATACAGGGCAGGACACTGGGACCCTGTAGCAAGTGTCCTGAAAAAGACCCCTCTCATTCAGCTGAATAAGGGGCCTTCAACCCTTTGCACTGATAAACCATTATCAACCCCTCCCCATTCACAAACCCTCTCTGCTGTCCCATAGACCCTCCTCTATTGCAAGCAAAGTGAAGTCTTGGAATCGCAGAGCTGTTGCCATAGCAGCCGCCCCTCTCACCCCCACTCCCACCATTATGGAATTATCCCATTCTCAAGTGTCCTGTTGTGTCTATTAATACCAGACTCCCCCCCTGCACAATACCCTTTTCCACCCCTCTAAAATAATCACAGAACTCCAAAGAGTCAGTGTAAAAGACTAGGGGGTTCAGAGAGACTTTAATAAGCAGGACAAACACCGAAATATTCAAAAATATCACAGTAGCAGCAGTGGTTCGCCCCTTCCAAGGCTTCAGCTGGAATGAAAACTGCCTTTCATTGCAAGTGTGCCATCTCCTCTCCTCTGTTGTATGAGCTGATAATGCACTATCAGAGCTAGCAGGACTCTATATAGAGGGGCTCTCTCTTCCACCCTCACTAAGTCTGAAACGGTCTGCTCCTTCTGAATCATCAGACGGCTTTCAGCTTTGACGCTTCCCCTTGATTCGCTGGCGTCAGAAGGAGCTCCCAGAGATTTACTCTAGAAGGACTTTACCCTTCACCGGTAGGACTGCGCTGTCAAGAGGTAAGAGAACTGGCTTTGGCTGGTAGAATAATGGAGGCACTTTCCTGGTGGCTTTATGCTGTTGTAGCCGAGTCAGTGAGGGTGGTGGGAGATGTACAGAGTGGCTAATACACATAGTGTATGAGTTGTTAAACAAATAGAGTCCACAAAGAATTTCATTATAATCACTCTTGTCCTCTAAATTAGAATAGCTTTCCAAATGTCTCCATTTTCAGCCATTAGTACAGACAGGCATACACCACAAACATCACCCCATTACATTATTAATTTCCCATGGGCAACCGAGTATTCTCAGCCAGAGGGGAGTCAGCTCTGGAGGGAGTTTCATCCAGTGTTAAACGATTTTCTGGGAAAGATGCAAGATCTTCCTGCTTGACAAAGCATTTCCACCATCATCAGCCCTGATCATTTAAAACAAAACAGATCATTCCCCAGGCAGAACCACCTTTAATCAAAAGAATGAGAGAAGAGCAGAAAACTGTGAAGTCCACCTGAGAACTCATCAAGCTAGCTCGATTTCTTATTTAGGATGAACTAGAAAGTTTTGCTTATTCTTCATCAAGCCTTTTATTAACAAATAGGTAGAGCACCCGTTGGAACAGTAATATCGTAGTATAAACTATTATAGCTATCCAAGAGAGTATCAATGTAGTGTGGGTGTGAGAGAGGGGGAGGGCCATAAAATATGGCTATATGCACACATTCTAAATGACTAACTACATCCCTGCTTACAAATCAGCTATGGGAGGCTTGGAATAATGGCTAACCCCAGAATAGAGCTCTATTCAGCAATCTGTAAATCACTAAATACTCACACTACCCCAGCAGCGCAAGTCAAGTGGAATTCTGGGCTTGGGAACCAGACAACTAAAGAATTATTCTGCCTACAGATTCAGAACCTCTTGCATTGTAGAACAAGCCCCGGATACTAGATAATTTTAAAAAGGAGATATGATTTCTAATTAGCTTCAAACAAAAGCATTTGTATGTGCTACAGTGACAAGTTTATTAGAGATTCAGAGTTATTCTACAGTGTACCACAATAGAGCAAAAATAAACTAAAAACCTAATACAAAAATGTGCACATTTATTTTGAATCAGATTTAAAAAAAAAAATTATAATAATTTGCTAAACCTTCTTCATGTGTTATTACCAGAGGCACAGAGTAAAGCCATCACTGGTTTTCCACAGCTCTAGTGTTATTGTGCTATGAACACTTAAAGCCGCAGATTTTTTAAATGAGCATTTCAATTCTCAAAGCCAGTGCAGCAATTAATTCTAGTGATACATTAACTTCTCCTGAGCTATTCAAATGCCAACAACACCTTCATTTTCATGTCAACAATCAACATTAATGGCTACAAAATTAAAGTATGTTAAAACAGCACGAGTTAAAACTCTCGGAGGATCATTTGAGTTTAGAACCTAACTGAAAGGGTTTTGTAATGTAGCAAATTGCTGGCACTACTATGATGGGTCCCGTGCTTTCTCTTCTTGTGGGGGTGTTCAGGGCGCCATTTCTCGCCCCTCATCTGGGGTATTAACTGTCCCACTAGTATCCCAGAGAAGGGGAGTGGAGAGGGAGGGACCCGGGCCCGCCCTCTACTTCGGGTCCCAGCACAGGGGCCCTAGGGATAGTGGCAAACCACTTGAACTAGCAATTCCTTCCCCTGGGCTACTTCTCTCTCCGGCCCTTCATCTTGTGGGGCTTCCTGCCCTCTCTGCTTGGGCAAGGTTTCTCCCAACCCTTTGTGTCTGTGGAGTCCCTCTGCTCTGTACAAGCCAGGTTTCCCTTTATCTAGGGTCTTGGTCTTCTGGCCCGCCACAGCACTTTTCCAAACTCTCCTCTGCTTCCCTCCAAACTGCTCTCCTTCAAACTACTCTCTGCTCCAACGCCAAACCACTCTGCTTCAACTCCTCCAACTGTCTGATTGAAGCAGGGTTTTTTTTAAATCAGGTGACTGGCTTCAGGTGCTCTAATTGGCTTAAGAGGCTCTAATTAAACTGTAGCAGCCTCTCTTCCCTCTACAGGGAATAAGGCTCTCATCATCCTGGGGCTTACATATCTCCCCTCTATCACTCTCCTGCTGCCCTCTGGCCATGCTGTATCACAGTAAAAAGAGCCATTTATTTTCTTCACACCTTCTGACAAATAAAAAAAAAAAAAGAAAGAAAAAGAGGTCCTCACAGGGTAACATCTGGAACAGCAGCTTCCTCCCATAACGATACTGACTTTTGACAGATAAGAACATATGTGAGCTAGATCCATCAACATTTAATCAACTCCTGCAGCCCTAATCCCCAAGATGTTTCTCCTCCCTGTGACTACTCTACTAGACTTCTTGATATTCCCCACTCAACCCCCTGCAGTCCTGTGGTAAAATCCTGGCACCACTGAAGTCAAAAGAAGTTTTGCCATTGACTTCAACAGAGCCAGGATTTCATCACTGGTGTCTTTGCAATTCTGTGTCAGATACTGACAGAAAACTGAGCTCAAACCCCAAAGATCATAGCTCAATGCACCACAGGAAGTCAGTTCTAACAGAGTCTGATCACTACAGAGAATTTTAAGAACATGATAAAATGCATGTCACTCCGAGTCCCTTAATGTTGGGGCTGCAGATGGAGAGCAAACTGTTGCCCGGAGGAAGATTCCACCAAAGAGCTGGCCTACAGCAAATGAAATCTCTGTCTGGACTGTAGGAGACCCGATGCCAGCCTTTTAGACTCACATCCACCTGGTGTTTCATTTTTAACAGGGTGTTATAACTGAATATAAAACTAATGGCTAACCACAGTCTAATCTAAGTCTTGCTATGCAGGATCATGCCTCCTTACACATTTGTTTGTGGATGGGATTAGTTAAATAAATGGAGTGGCAGCACAAAGTGTAAATTCAAAGAGTCACACAACGAGTATTAATGTGGATGTGCCCTGTCTTTAATAGCCATTAAAGTGGTAAGGTTTCATCCTCCTTTGGTGTAAAATAGAAAAAATATGAAAAATTCCTTCCGATAAGGATAACAAGTCTTTTAGCTTCCAATACCACTTTCACGTAGGGACTAAACTCACAAGGTTTTTTCCAAAGACACTAGGACCCAGAGTTTCAAAGAGACAAGTAACACCAGCAAAGATGTGCACACTCCACAAACACTGTCTTTGCATGTGCACACCTGGGAAGCATGTACACAAAGAGGCAAGTCTCATAAGGACATAAGAACAGCCATACTGGGTCAGACCAAAGGTCCATCTAGCCCAGTATCCTGTCTTCCGACAGTGGCCAATGCCAGGTGCCCCAGAGGGAATGAACAGAACAGGTAATCATCAAGTGATCCATCCCCTGTCACTCATTCCCAGCTTCTGGCAAACAGAGGCTAGGACACCATCCCTGCCCATCTTGGCTAATAGCCATTGATGGACCTATCCTCCATAAACTTATCTAGTTCTTTTTTGAACTCTGTTATAGTCTTGGCCTTCATAACATCCTCTGGCAAAGGAGTTCCACAGGCTGACTGTGTGTTGTGTGAAAAAATACTTCCTTTTATTTGTTTTAAACCTGCTGCCTATTAATTTCATTTGGCGACCCCTAGTTCTTGTGTTATGAGAAGGAGTAAATAATGCTTCCTTATTTATTTTCTCCACACCAGTCATGATTTTATAGACCTCAATCATATCCCCCCTTAGTCGTCTCTTTTCCAAGCTGAAAAGTCCAAGTCTTATTAATCTCTCCTCATACGAAAGCCATTCCATACCCCTGATAATTTTTGTTGCCCTTTTCTGAACCTTTTCCAATTCCAATATATCTTTTTTGAGATGGGGTGACCACATCTGCATGCAATATTCAAGATGTGGGCGTACCATGGATTTATATAGAGGCAATATGATATATTATTATCTATCCCTTTCTTAATGATGACCAACATTCTGTTCGCTTTTTTGACTGCTGCTGCACATCGAGTGGATGTTTTCAGAGAACTATCCACAATGACTCCAAGATCTCTTTCTTGAGTGGGAACACCTAATATAGTTGGGATTATGTTTTCCAATGTGCATTACTTTGCATTTATCAACAAGTCTCCATTTTGCACATGTAAATGTCGGGCAAATATGCATGCCCACTGTTACAGAATGTGCTGTGCTTTGAAAAACGGGGCCCATGAAACAGTGTTCCGCTCAAGCACTGATGCAGGCTGCCCTCATACTCTCATTTTTATTCTTTCAGTAATAAACAGGAACAAGCACACAGCTGGTTGGCGCACAAAGGATCCTGCAGTCCTAAATCTCCAAACTTCACAGCTCAGCTGCATAGCATTTCAACACAGAGAAAGAGGGACCCACTGTGGCCAGATGGGAGAATTTCTATTTCTTAATTCTATCCATTCTCACTTCTGTTGATCTTCATCCTTCTTGTCTGTCAACCAGCTTGGCAGTGGAAGAAGTCTGGTTCAGAGTACGCCCACTTCTATCCACCTATTTGAAAGACAGGTGTTTTCTTGGGATTCTGTTTCCAGTGAATGTGTTACTGGACTATTCTTCACCAGAAATTTCACCTCTTAAATGTTTCTGAGCAATAATCATAGCTCTGAGGGAAGGTGAGGCATTACCCTCTGCTGCAGTCACTCGTCTACTGCTGTATAATTTCAGGATGCAGCAAGGTTTTTGCCAGAGGCATCTTCGATAACATCAGCAACCATCTCAATGGTTTGTTAACTAGGGTAAGGGGGAACTGGCTGATCAGAAAGGAGGAAGCATCTATTCACATACCTTAATTAACAGCAATGATGTGAAAGTAAAGAGTGGCCGCTTTGCACAGACAGGGGTTGCCTGGACAAAAGCCAGACTCCTACACCAAACAGACATTCTCCTTGACTTGTGCGATCATTACTTAAGGAAAACACTCTTCTTTTCCAGATATTTTTCAGACCCAATTCCACTTCCCACTGCCTCTGTAGTCTCCAATACATCCCAGACCACTCCTGCTCCCCTTGTGGGCTTCCTTCCCTGCCTAATATTTCCTCCATCTATCCCAGCACCCTATCCCTCAGACTTCTTCAGCTTCCTTTACTGCTTCCCCTTATACAAATATACTATAGCATCCTGTACTACTGGTCAAATACCACAGCAGTATCCATGCCATGGCGTTAAACACTCTCTTTGCTAATTCAGAATCTGGACCAGTATGACAGAATACTAGAGCCTTTTATTTTTAAATAAACAGAGGAAAACCAGATACTTGATCCCCATTTTAAGCAAACAAGTAGGAATAATCAAGTTTTGCATAAATCCTCAACTAGCTAAGTACAAGAGTTTAATGTGGTTTTGGTAAAAATGTTGCAGGTGCTAACAGGTTCCCCTATCAAAGAAAAACCTACAGGGGTTGATGCCGTGATCCCTGGGATTGTTGTGGAGGAAGAAAATTCCCAAAAGTTTTCTCTCAGTTTCCAACAGATCATTCGATTGCGCATGTGGGTTAGCATGCAGGTGGTTTGAACACAGATTGTTGGGATCTGCCAGAGCCCAAGGCTGTCTACACAGAGCCCCTGTACCTCCATGATGCCCCTTAGTCTCAAGTGAATCTTCCCCATACCCCGGTTAATACAGCAGCAGGTGAGTCATACTGACATTCACTTTGTCCCTTTGCTGGCTGTTGCCTGTATATCCCAAAATACACCCCTACCCCGATATAATGCGACCCGATATAACAGGAATTTGAATATAACGCAGTAAAGCAGTGCTCCGGGGGTGGGGGGGGCTGCGCACTCCGTCGGATCAAAGCAAGTTCGGTATAACACGGTTTCACCTATAACACGGTAAGATTTTTTTGGCTCCCGAGGACAGCGTTATATTGGGGTAGAGGTGTACATTAGCCTACATTTTCAAGAGTAATTAGTGATCTTGTGAGCCCAAGTTGACACCTCAAAGGAGTTTCCATGTAGTGGATCATGGCATCAACCCCTGCAGGTTTTCCTTTGATAGGGGAATGCTTCCACTGTCTTCGCTGTGTCCCAGTGAAGCACTCTCAGTGGGCCCCATGGACAAGGGGATGGTGCTGCAGACACATCTGACCACCCTCCCCTCCCCACATCCCTCAGGGACAGTGGGAGATGTACAACAGACTCAACACCATGCACAGATGTAGTTGAGGAAGGGATCCAGCTCACAGTTTTGTCATATTTTCATTTTATAGACTAGGGAGCAGATGAAGGGAATAATACAAAAGACTCAAAGCCAGAGTAAGAGTTACAGATTCTAATTCAAGATCTGTTGCATATCATAGAAAAGCTCTGGGTAAGTGTCCATGAAAGTCTGGTCATTTTGCACTGCTGCTGTGGGCAGCAGTGGGAGTGACAAGAATAAGATCAATTTCACTGTGTTGCTGGTTGAGAAAGCTACAGGGTCAGTTGCAGCAGATATAGTTACTGGAGCTTTCAAGGAAGAGGAACATGCAGCGACTGAAAAAGGAACAGAGTAGCAGAGAAATTCCCCTGGTAATAGCCAGGCAGCCGGGGAAGTCCAGTGCTCTTTCCCAAAGCAAGTCAGTAGTGTTTCACTGTCTGAATCAATTGAGGCAGAAGCCACTGCACTGTTTGGAAGAACTTTCTTCTGAATCCCAGCCCAGTAACAAAACCAACTCTGGGGATTTTCTGGTAACAAATAAATAAAATAAATAAATAAATAAATAAATAAATCCTGGCACTTGTTCCCAGAAACCATGCACCTAGAGACATTTCTACCAGAGATGGATATATGAACTCTCCCCTTCCCATTCTCTCCAGGAATAAGCCAGATACTCACAAAGGTGTTTAAAAAAAAAAACAAAAAACACAGAGGATACCTATGTCTCCAGTGAAGTTTCTGTATAAGGAGCTGTGACTGTAGTCCCAGGTGTGCCAGCCTGAGATTGCTCAATTAGGGCAAACTGTAAAGAAGGGCAGACAATCTCCAAAACTGGTGGTTATTCCAATACTTAGATCCACCAAGCCAGAAACAAAACAGCTTCTATAATACCTTATTGGTTACTCAGAAGCCAAAAACACAGTTCCCTTAAAGCAACCCAGCCTTGGGCTTTCTCCCAGACAGCCAAGTCAAATATGATGAGGATTACTAAAAATCTTGTTCATCATATAAAAAGGATCGGACACATTACCTCCCAGGTTAATGAATATTTCAGATCTTATCCAAATACACACTTACAGCCAATTATTATTATCTAAACTAAGATTTATTAAAAAAAGAAGAGAGAGCATATTGGTTAAAAGATCATTATACATACAGGTATGAAGAGAGTTCTTAGGTCAGTTTTATAGTACAGATGGTGAGCTTAGAGTTGCAAAGCGTCCTTTCCAGAATCACTTCATTAGGTTATAGTCCAATGTCCATATACAATATCAGGGCTATCCAGAATGGCACTGGAGACCACAGTCTTGCGACTCAAACTTCCCTACGAAGCTTAAGCAGATCTGAGATCCCAAGAGTTTTTAATAGAGATTTCCTCTTGACAGCACACAGTCCTTGGATGAACAATAGGCTTTTGAAGTAACCTTCTATTTCCTAAGCATTACTAGTAATTAATTAGTACAAGATATTTATCTATTAAGCAGTTCATAGACAATTTACTACAAACTTCAAAGAGAAGTATAGACAATGAAATTACTACACCCAAGTTTCATTTAAATGTTAATATTCCCTTTTGATCTCTGAATCAATAGACAGGATTCACCTATTTACATGGTTAACATCATATTTACTCGTTCATTAGCCTGTTCATTTATAAGCCGACCCCCCCAAGATGGATAGGTAAAAATAGCAAAAACTGTCACCCTTTCATAAGCCGACCCTATATTTCAAGGGTTGGCAAACTTTGGCTCCTGGCCCGTTAGGGTAAGCCGCTAGTGGGCCTGGATGTTTGGTCTACCTGGAGCATTCACAGGCACGGACCCCCTCAGCTCCCAGTGGCCGCAGTTTGCCGTTCCCAGCCAATGGGAGCTGTGGGAAGTGGCGCCACTTCCCACAGCTCCCATTGGCTGGGAACGGCAAACCGCAGCCACAGGGAGCTGAGGGGCTCCATGCCTGCAGATGCTCCAGGTAAACAAAATGACAATGTATTAGATAGTCAATTCAATGATTCCATAGAGTTTAAAATCATCAAATTTTGGTGTAGACCCGTTTATAAGCCGACCCCCGCTCTTTGATGCATGACTTTTTTACCAAAAATATTCGGCTTATGAATGAGTATATACGGTAAACACATACAATTAATACTACCTCTAATTCTCTAACAATACAGGTTTGCATGTCAAAACTCTAGTCTATTTAACAGGACTATGTTAGCTATTGCTAAGGAACAGCCCTAATTACCATTTATATACTTCTCTAATATGTCTTTAAAGGTTCAATTTGGCTAATTTATTCTGCAAGTTGCTTAACCCTTTCTGGCCCTGTGTCACAGGAGCTCTTTAAATCCTAGGACAAGTAGTACCAATATTTTGGCACCATGCCAAAATCAGTCGCTCTCTGACTGTATAGTGCCTATTTTCACTTTTCTGTTAACCTGGTACATGGGTGTTTAGCACCTTTATCGCTTACTAATTCTCAGAACATCTTTGAGATAAATGTACAGCCAGTTGATTGCATTACAATATTTTCTTCAACTGACAGGAAAGGTCTGGAAAACCCAATTGAGAGGGAGGGGTTTAATAATTCTGAAGTAGGTCAGACTCTGAGTTTATAAAAATTGGGCAGTGTCCTTTTAATTACTTCTCTCAGCAAGCAGGAGACATGTTGACTGATTTCCATGCTGTCTCACCATTACCAAGGTTCTTTGTAAGATCTGTTTTCTTGATTTTTTTCAGGTCCCTGGTTGGTGCCCCAGAGCTGTAGTGAGGAATGAATGGTCCAGCAGATCCCTCAAGCCTATTCCTCAACTCCTCCCTGGCAACTTCAGAACAATGTGGCAAAGAGACCCATATAGAGAACATCCTTTTTGCCACTTTTTATCTCCTGGATTTCATCCTGGCTTTTGTTGGCAATACCCTGGCTCTTTGGCTCTTCATCCGGGACCAAAAGTCAGGCACTCCAGCCAATATTTTCCTGATGCATCTTGCTGTGGCCGACCTGTTTTTTGTGCTGGTTCTACCCACCCGGCTGGTATATCACTTTTCTGGCAATCACTGGCCATTTGGCGAGATCCCATGCAGACTCATTGGCTTCCTTTTTTATCTCAACATGTATGCCAGTATCTACTTCCTCATGTGCATCAGCGTTGACCGCTTCCTAGCCATCGTGCACCCTGTGAAGTCCATTAAACTCCGCAGGTCACTCTACGCCCACTCAGCATGTGCCTTTCTTTGGGTTATAGTTGCTGTCGCAATGGCACCTCTGTTGGTCAGTGTGCAGACAGCTGAGATTAACAACACAACTGTCTGCCTACAGCTCTACAGAGAGAAGGCATCACGCCATGCTCTCGTGTCCTTGGCAGTGGCATTCACCTTTCCATTTATTACTACAGTGACCTGCTACTTATTGATTATCCGTAGCCTGAGGAGTGGGAACAGAGTTGAGCAGCACCTGAAGGAAAAAGCCATCAAGATGATCATAGTTGTCCTAATGATCTTTCTGGTCTGCTTCGTACCCTATCACATCAATCGCTACATTTACATTCTCCATTATGACGGCACCAAGACTTCCTGTGAAACCCAGCGAGTCCTGGCACTCAGTAACCGCATCACTTCCTGCCTCACCAGCCTGAATGGCGCCCTTGACCCAGTGATGTATTTCTTTGTTGCTGAGAAGTTCCGTGAGGCCTTGTGCAGCTTGTTTTGTGGCAAAAGAGCTGCAATGATGCCTCCAAGTTATGAGGGGAAGACAAATGAGAGCTCACTAAGTGCTAAATCTGAACTGTGAGCAAGTGATCATATTTGTTGTCACTTCCGGGCACAACACAGCCAAGAGACTCTCTAGAGAGTAAAGGCAAGTGACTCCAAGGACAGAGATGTTATCCCCAGAGTCAGTATCATTCTTGCAATATCAAGGAGGAGAGTTCAGTTATTCTATGCAGCTACAACCAGCAAGGGCTCATCTCCGCCAGAAGACAGATTGTAATCTCTGTAAATCACAAGACATCTAACCATGAATGCAACAGCAGCAGCATCTGTTGCCCAATCCTGAAGCTGAGGCCTGAATATTTTGGGATGGAGGAAGGAAACAAGAATGTAATCAATCCATGATTTCTCCATCTAAGAGTTTTATACTCAAGTCTCGTTCAAGCAAATGTTGGCCACCCTGAGAAACAGAACAACTGGAATTCAAGGACTAAGATTCAGTGGGTGATTGCCCCCTGCCCAACATGCACACCCTCCCCTGAAATCCTATGTTGTACCAGCCAGAGAGATTCAGTCCTGGGATATCAGAGGAGAATAGTAGTGTCTCTAGATCTATTGTGAATATTTGTAGAGAGTTGGGGGGATATGGTATGCCTATTGAACAGGGGAAAGGGGAAACCTGTGGCTGGAATAAATGGGAGACATCCTGATTCCCCAGGGACGTCAAGTTATTGTCGCCACAGGCCTCTTGTCTATGCCGAGGATTTGGGCATGAGCAGTAAACATCATGCTAATATTTCAATCTGTCCTTGGGTTTGTGGTCTAAGGCCCCAGGAGCTGTCTTCAGTTACAGGCAGCATCTTCTGAACGAGTCTTGGGGTGTAGTCCTGTTTGAATTATCAATCACCTTAATAATCTCAGGCTAAAATAAAAGGGAATGGAAAGAAGTCTCATGAAAAAAATCAGTAAAGGGAATATCTTCCATTGGTTTATAAATGCTGAACCCTAAAACTCTGAATCCCTGTAAAAAAATTAGCCAAGAAGATGAAAAGTAGATGTGCTGAAAGTGTGAAACCCAGCCTGCTTGGGGAAAGCCTTAAAGCTCTTTAGAGTGTTTTGTTTGGTCTGAAAAACATTTCATTTGCTACATATGATCACTAACCTAGTTTAGCTTAACTACCCTCACTGATAAATGTTGCACCCAATGGAACACATCTGGGTATTAAAACAAGCAGGGGAGATAGGAGAAATCCCATGGTATAAAAGGAGAAGAGCAGAAGAATCCATTATGTCCACTAGGAACCTTGCTAAGCCAATCATATTTGCCTCTGAAATGCTTAGGTACGGCAGTGATGAGCATGATAGAAAGCCATATGATAGCTCAATCTTATTTACATATTCTACCCATGCCACTGGGAAAGAGCTCTCGATGTCTCCAAGAGTTTAGATCCTGAATTATGAAATCAAACAGCTTTTTATCTTGGTTAAGTTTCTGGAAGCCTGACTGCTTTCCCAGCTGGTACCCAGCACTGCTCAAAGGCACTAGCCAATCAGAGACACAAGCCAAGAAGCCAAAAGGAAAATCCATTAACTGTAATTCTGGAAGCCTAGAGACTGGTGTTATATGGAAGATTACTTGAACGGGAAGTAATTATGGAAGGTTCCCTGGTGGACAGGGTGAAGCAAATAATCCTCTTTCCTTTTCCCACGTTGATCACTTCAGCGGGTAGAAACATCAACTCAATGACTCTCCCAACCCCTGCTGGACAGAGGTATAACAGTCTGAAGTTAATCCACTGTGCTTCAGAATTCAAAGCTATCTGCCAAACTGTCTGTCTCTCTTCTTACCGGGATGTGCTTTTGTACAAGTTTCCTGTCCTGTTTGTATTATTTTTGCCATTAATTTTTTTAAAACAAAAAACTTTTTGGACTTGTTCATACTTATTATACATATATAAAATAAATAGTTTAAAAGGATCAGTGAGAAGATGGTCTTTATATTAACAGAGGCTCCCCCTCAGTTTCTCATTATGCCCAGGGTTCCCACTCAATCAGCAGAGACATGCCCCTTTATCTCTCACATGCAGACCAGCATCATGCCTGGAATCCTTTCCCTTTCCAGACAGCCTCCTGCCCATTCACCCAACTCTATCCACAATCCACTGGCATTCCACCTTCAGGCCCCTCCTCTACCCATATGTCCTTGGATAGTCAGTGTCCTGTCCATTGCCCTTTCTCTACCCCATCTCTCACTTTCCAACCACTCAGTCCTACTCCGGGCTTATTCTGTGCCTTTCCTTTCTTTATCTGCCACTCTGTTTTTGTTTTATTGCGCTAACAGACCTCCTGTTCCCACATCCACAATGTACCGGGCTAAGCCCCTGTGGCTCTGCTCTCTCTTACCTGCCAGCATTTTTTACGAAGCCTAGGTCGGCAAGTGCCACATCACAGAGCTCACAACGGAAGCATTCTGGGTGCCAATTATTGTTCATTGCCTTGATCACACGTCCAATAATGAACTCACCTTGGAAAGAAAAACACAACCCTTAGATGCAAACAGAACCAATTTGAGCAAAAAATCTCTCCCCCACATCCACCACCATTCCTTTTCAATGCCACAAGGCCCAGTATATTCTGATTTGCTGAAAATACCACTTCCTCCCACAAGAGTACCAGAAGAACATCTTCATTCTTAACCACTGCCAGAGTAATTCTTTGTTACTGTCCAGAGAGCCTGATGCTTAGGATGACCCTTGGGTTAAAATTTTCATCCCCAGTGATCCTCTGCCCCATGACTTCTACTCAGGGAAGAGAAGAGACTACATAGTTTTGCACATGGAGATCTTACCACATTGCCCACAACAGGGTGCAAACAGCATCTGGAAATCATGCTCACAATACTTTCGACCCTCAAACTGTTAAAGAAACAAAGGAGAGAAAATCCTCAGTGAATCACAAACTGTCTACTGTAAAAATTCAGACTATTATTAGAGTTTGCAGGTGACAAACTTGTAAAGGTTAAGCAAGTGTTTTCATTTCCAACCCATTCTTCAGTTGCTTGTCATTGCCTTGAAAAAAATCCTTCGAAGGTGACACTTCCCATACTTTGTCTCAGCCCCATGGAGAATTTTCTTGGACAATGGAGCCAAATCAATGCAGGTATGTTTAATATGGGCAAAGGTGCAGGGGAAAGCAAAACCAAAACATACACAAAACTCCACTGTTCCTATAATTAGCTTTTCTTGTCTTTTTCTTCTGGGTTCATTTACCTCAAAAGAGCTCAAACTTGACATGATTGTTGTCCACATGGAAAATGAAAAAGAGCTTAGCATTTTAAAAATTAGATAGTTTTCAAGTTACATGTTTGTACATGTGCTATAGAAAAATTTACAGCCGATTTTCAGACAAGTTCACTAATTTTGGTTACCCAACTTGAGAAACCTTGTGCCAAATTTTAAAAACACCCAAGAACCCACTCATGCCTTATTCCCATATGCAATGTTGAGCACATTATTTTGCTTTCCTCCCCTTCTCCCATCCCTCACTTTTCTTAAAAAAAGAAAAAAGGGAAACCAGGAAATTAAATACAGAAAATTAAGTTAGTGCAATATTAGGGCTCAGAAACTGAACATGCAAAATCAGGAAATTAAGAAGTGAAGATTCTGACAGAAACGTTAAGCCCCAGCTTTTTAAAGGAGACCATTTTCTTCTCTGATGCACTAGATACCCACAGAAATTGTGCCCACATTATTTGCAACCATAATTAATTGTGGATGCAAATTCTACCATAAAGGTATTTAAGTACCTGTCCTAATTTGGGCTTGCAAGTTAGTTACTTATCCATCTCTATGCTAGTATTTATGCCTAAAACTTTATATGAACAAAACACAGGGACAATTTTAATAAGTGTGAAACTGAGATCCATCTGAAAACTGGGCCGTAAAAGGATGCTTTCAGGTCAAATCTGGCCAAAAATTTAGACTTTATAAAACGTGCCTTTTAATAAACAGGATGTGCATGCAATGTGGTCGAGTTAACATTGATATAGGAATCTTGCGTTATGAATTTCCCAACGTCTGCATGGTTCAGTCCTCTATCTTAATGTGCTGATGTATGTTTTTTAATTTAGTTTTATATTCTAAATATATATTTTTCTGTTCCACTGCATCCTAATTTTGCTTAATTTATGTATAGCCGGGATGAGGGGGAAATGACTTTAACACAACTCTGGATTTGTCAGTCAAGTCAATGATAATAAAGTTTAGGATCAAAAGAAATGGAAATCAACAAGATTAGGGAACTGAAATTCTGCATCCCCACAAAGTCTCCCCAATACTGGTCAACTGGCCAGACAGATTTCCCAAGGAGGAAGACAGCAGTACATTTAAACATAAGGCTATTTTAGAGTGTGATCATTTCAAGGTTAAGAGAGACAGAAGCGTATGGGGAGGGAAAAGGCAGAGGGACTGCTGACAGCACAGGACCCATTTGAGCTAATATGGAGCCCCCGTGAAGCAATCTGATCGGGCCCCTCACTGAAAAGATAAGATTCTGTGGACAATCTCCTGCATCGTCTGCCCCACCAACTTCGAGGAAAGAGCCAGGGGAAGAAGGTGGGAGAGGAACGAGTAACAAGTCCAGATACAGAGTGTGCGTTTGTGCAGAACTGAAGGAATAATTGACAGTGATTTCCTGACATGAGGATGTGGGAACCTGAAATGTATCTTAGCGGTCACATGATAATGGTAAAAATCACAGTGTCGCTTTTCTCTCACCCTGAACAAGCAGCTATATTAAAATAAGGAAAATGGTAATATCCTACAGCTACAATGCTTCTTCCTATCCCAGACCCTCCTGCCTGGCTTCCTGCTATGGTTTTAAAGAAACAGTTCCTGTATGCTCACATCAGCCAAGGTCACGAAATAGAAGGAGAAGATTGAAGGGGAAGGTTGAAAGAGAGAAGATTGAAAAAATTGGGTTTGTTTAGTGTGGAGAAGAGAAGACTGAAGGGGGGGACATGATAATAGTTTTCAAGTACATAAAAGGTTATTGCAAGGAGGAGGGAGAAAAATTGTTCTTCTTAAACTCTGAGGATAGGACAAGAAGCAATGGGCTTAAATTGCAGCAAGGGCAGCTTAGACTGAACATTAGGAAAAACTTCTTAACTGTCAGAGTGGTTAAGCACTGGAATAAATTGCCTAGGGAGCTTATGGAATCTCCATCATTGGAGATTTTTAAGAGCAGGTTGGACAAACACCTGTCAGGGATGGTCTAGATAATACTTAGTCCTGCCTTAAGTGCAGGGGACTGGACTAGATGACCCCTCGAGGTCCCTTCCAGTTCTATGGTCTCATATCTGCAGGGAATTACAGTTATCTCCATTGATCTCCCAGTCAGCATAGAGCATCTCACACTCCCATGTCACATGGCACTGGACCATGAGCATTTCACCTTGACCTGATGAGGTAGCCCCTCACTCCGGTGACTTAAGAGGCCCCTGCTGCTTCAGATTTAGCAGCAATGTCTGACCCAGCCCTCTGAGAGGGCTAGTTACACTGGGAAGGAAAAGGCAGACAGAAACACTGATAGTGGGCAAAGAATGACACTTGAAGATTTATCCTGTCCTGTTGAGTGCTCTCAGTTTTCACAGAGTTCACTGACAGCCACAGATACTCAGCATCTCCCAGGATTGGGTTTTTAAAGGGGGAAGTCAAGAAACTTTCTATAGCTTCACATAGGCAGTAACCTCACCTCATAGAAGAGTCCATCTGGGAACTGTCGGAAACACTGAGCACAGACAAAGCAGTTCTCATGATAGAGCTCCCCATTGCTGTTCACGATCCTCTCCGAGGGATCAAAGCGAGCCTGGCAGCGCTCACACACTGCATTTGCGAGGGCATCAGACATATTACTGAGGAGGAAATAAAGGTCAGAGTCAGAACATGGGCAATGTCACACCTATCAAATGAATATGCATACATCACACAAGTAACATTACAGTCACCAACATCTTTTCATCCCTTTTTGCATGAATAAGTACGATGAAAATAACGCAGCATGCAAGGGAATGGAATCAACAAGTTATTCAGAATCAACATCTGATATCTGTTTACATCTGACACAGGTGGAGGTGACAGCCACGTAGTAATTTGCAGAGCTATATGATGGATTCATTTATCTTTCACCTTTGACCACCTTGCCTGCCCTCTGTACACAAATCCCTGTCCTACCAACTTACTCCAGACACTCTCCATTAAAACACAAAATAAATGAAAACCCCTGAAGAGAAACGTTTTCTCCTTTTCTCCTCAAATGTATAATTGCCCCACCCCCTTTCAGCAAACATCACACTTGCCTGAGGCCTACGATGGGAAAACGTGAGTCCAGGTGTTCTATGTATTAAAATGTCACAGCGTTAAAGTCCTATCTCTCATGTCCCTGCAGAGCTAGGAATGGCAACTTCAAAAAATGGGGAAGATTCCCAGTTTCCTAATGGGATCAGCTTTATTTTAAAAACTGGAGTATCGAGTATGTGAATTTAAAATGGTGTGACGGGTTCGATCACAGAGACCCCCTTGGGACTGTCACCTGGCATGCTGAAACTACCTCTGAGCCCCTTTTCCCTGTCAGCTTGGGACTCCAGAACCCTGTCTTGTTGACACGCAATCCTGCTGCAACACAGACCCAGGGTCTGAACCATGTCCCCAAAGCTGCAGGCTTTAACTGAAAACCACTCAGCAGGTACTCCTGTCTCAAGCACCCAGCTCCCAATGGGATCCAAACCCCAAATAAACCGGTTTTACTCTGTATAAAGCTTATACAGGGTAAACTCATAAATTGTCCACCCTCTATAACACTGACAGGGAGATATGCACATCTGTTTGCTCCCCCAGGTATTAATCACTTACTCTGGGTTCAATAATAAACAAAAGTGATTTTATTAAGAATAAAAAGTAGGATTTAAGTGGTTTCAAGTAATAACAGACAGAACAATGTAAGTCACCAAGTAAAATAAAGCAAAAACACGCAAGTCTAAGCCTAATACATTAAGACAGTGTTTCCCAAACTTGGGATGCTGCTTGTGTAGGGAAAGCCCCTGGCGGGCCGGGCCGGTTTGTTTACCTGCCCCGTCCGCAGGTCCGGCCAATCACGGCTCCCACTGGCCGCGGTTCGCTGCTCCAGGCCAATGGGAGCTACTGGAAGCGGCGCGGGCCAAGGGACGTACTGGCTGCCGCTTCCAGCGGCTCCCATTGGCCTGGAGCAGCAAACCGCGGACAGTGGGAGCCGCGATTGGCCGGACCTGCAGACGCGGCAGGTAAACAAACCAGCCCGGCCTGCCAGGGGCTTTCCCTACACAAGCGGCGTCCCAAGTTTGGGAAACACTGCATTAAGAAACTGAATACAGGTAAATCTCACCCTCAGAGATGTTCTAATAAGCTTCTTTCACAAACTAGACTCCTTCTTAGTCTGGGCCCAATCCTTTCCAATGGCATAGTTCTTATAAGTTCCAGCTCAGGTGGTAACTAGGGTATTTCTCATGACTGCGGACCCTTTGTTCTGTTCCACCCCCTTTTAGCTTTGGCACAAGGCGGGAATCCTTTGTCTCTCTCTGGGTTCCCACCCTTCCTTCTAAATGGAAAAGCACCAGGTTTAAGATGGATTCCAGTACCAGGTGACATGATCACATGTCACTGTAAGACCTCATTCTCCATTCTTTCAGGGTTGGCCTGCACGTACCTAGGAAGGTTTGCGAGTAAACAGAGCCATTTACAACCAATTGTCTTTGTTAATGGGAGCCATCAAGATTCCAAGCCATTATTAATGGCCCACACTTTACATAATTACAATAGGACCTTAGAGAAATACTTCATATTTTTAGTTTCAGATACAAGAATGATACATACATACAAATAGGATGAACACACTCAGTAGATTATAAGCTTTGTAATGATACCTTTACAAGAGACCTTTTGCATAAAGCATATTCCAGTTACATTATATTTACACTCCTAAGCGTATTTCCATAAACATATGGAATGCAACATCATCCATGGTAACATTTTTAAGTATAGAAAAGCTATTTTTAAGATGTTTTTGTTGTTCCCTCTGAGCTCTGCATGGTTGGAGTGATGGTAGCGTTACAGGTTGATGCATATGAAAAACAAACCCAATTAATATTTTTAAGACACTCATACATTTATAAAATAGCCTTCCTGTAGCATATGTTGTATATACAGAATACTTGAAGGGGTGATATAAAATTTTAATCAACACTTGCATATGGTCTGCATACATTTCTTCTTCCTCTTCTTTCACTTTATTTGTAATGCTAGTTCATCTTTTATTTTATGCATAGCATGAAGTAAAAACCACAGTGGTGGCTGTTCTGTCTTTCCCTAAAGCAAGGGGTCAATATCTGTGCTGCATTTCTAGATTTCTTTTGTTAACATTATTCTGGGTCATCTTGTTTTCTGCAAATATTTATTTTAAACAAGAAATCAATACGTGTATTCTAGTAGTGGCAGCTTCTCTTTCCTCTGACCAGTCAGAGGTGCCATCAGAAAAACAGACATGGAAGACAGAAGCCTGATTCTCCAATGCCCTGCGTCTTGTATAGTCATCTACAGTCCTGCAAAGTGAATATAAAAATTCCCCACTTTCACTGGTGGAAACACTTTACATCCATTTTGCATAGGTATAAGCCAAAGGAGAACCAGACCCATTGATTAGATTAGAATCAATAGTACTAATTTAGAGACATTAAAATGGATTTTGTTTCCTCCCTGCAGTACAAATGGGCCTTTACACTTAGAATCTCACCAAAATTATGAATAGACAGGAAATCCTGTAACCTTGTGGCCCACAACTCATGGTTTACAGAAACTCCAGACATTTGCCTGAGCTCTGTCAGTGTTTGTAGCAAAACCCAGAGGCCATCCTTGGGATCTGAGCAATTCTGTTTCCAATCACAGCTTTGCTTCACCTAAATCACAGGCCAGGAAGGTTCATAATGGCAGGATTTTATACAATAATTCCACCATTTAACACTCACTCAAATCAACCTGGAAAAAAATAAAAAAACTTGGTCCCTGGTTTCAGAGGCTTGATCTAGACAACATGGGGGGGGAACCATCAAGGAGGAAGATAAACAATAAAAAAAGGCAGATAGTATTCTAAGTGTAAAGCTGTAATTACCACTCCTCTCATTCATCTTCTGTATTATGAGAAGAGACTAGAGGGGTGGGGGGAAATGACAGCTTCTATGACTAGAGAGATAAGGTGGGTGAGGTAATATCAAATCTCAAGAAGAGGTCTGCGTAGCTCAAAAGTTCTCTCATTTACCAACAGAAGTTGGCCCAATAAAAGATATTACTTTACCTCACCCACCTTGTCTCTCTAATATCCTTGGACCAAGACAGCTAACTCTCTAAGCTTTATGACTGTCAGAGATCCACGTATGATATGATACTCCCTATGTGCCCAACACTAAGCACAACGAAGCACGTTTCTGGTTGTCCTTGATTACAAACTAAGTTATTAAAAAAATCTGCTACTTACATTTCCGTTTTAAATTTATTTTAGTTGCTATCTCAGAAAGAGCCTGGCTCCCCACCACCTTCCACTGACATTACACTGGGTCCTATTGCCCCCAATACTGCAAGAATGGAACTGGCTGGCATTAGACAACTGTGTTTTGAGCCCTCAGCTTGCAATCTGCACAGTCGTATTCCTGCGATGAGTAAAATGCAGATGAGTTAGCCAGGTCTAGAGGGATAATTCCTACTAAGAACTAAGAACTATTTGTCACGAGAGGTTTTAGGGAAAAGTCACATGGGAGTGTCGGCAAAAAAAGAGATAATGGAAATTTAGGGTCTAATCTCTGAACCCCTCATTCATGAAAGCAGGACTGTAAAAGCCCTTATTCAGGCAAATAGGTTTGAGGACTGTAGAAGTACAAACAGCCTTCAGTAAAAAAGCCTCATAATCCTGTAGGAAATTAGAGCTCCCACTGAGAGTCAAATGATCTGTTCTTTTGTGTGGCCACATTACTGTCCCCAACCTCTTTATTTACCCTGAAATGCAAGCTTGAAATGCAGCTCAGGATTTAACTTGCCGCTGTCAAAGAAATTCATTCAGCTCACCCACTCACAAAAATGAGAAAATGTCAAAAGTTATGGGACTTATTTTTATACACACACACACACACACACCACCCATGACTCTTACTGCAAAAGAGCAACTGTAGACACCATCAAACCCCGAACCCTGTAAGACCATTCCAGATGTCCCAACATCCCTGTTACTGCATTAGATTGTGAGGAGCAGCAAAGAGGGTGATTAACAGCTAAACTAGGTAGTATAGTCTAAACACTTCTGGGATTTGGAAGAGAAAAAAAGTTAACTGATAAAAGTATTTAAGTTTAAAGAAACTGGCAACTGCAAACAGGATTTCCTTGAAAATTATAAGCACAAGGACCGTGCAGATGTCATCATACTGGCCCAAGAGGAGCAAAAATACAAATGATCTGTTCCTTAAAGATTAAGCACAATAGGACCTAGTAATCTAGAGGGGAAAAATAGTAAGTAAATGTCTGTATACAAAGTTACATACTACATACACAGCCAAAATATATACCACACAAATATACCATATGTCCAGCCCAGTGGCCTATTGGTAATCCTACGTGCTGCCATGCAGGGAGTCTATGCTCAGTTATTAGTCCCAAACTCTTACTCATAGGGTGGGAGTACCATTAAGCCAGTGTATTCTATGCACGTGCACACACCCCAGAGGGAAGAAAAGGGAAGAAGTACCTTGCATCTTTCCAATGCAACTCCTCCAGCCAGCTAGAACCAATACTAATGGAAGTCTCTCTTCCAGTCCTAGCTGGCTAGGACATTGGCTATGATTAGGCTTGACAGAATTTGATTTTATATATTATAATTTCAGCAGATAATGTCCATGTGTATTTTTATTTTTATTGATTTAAATGTTCACCATTGTGCAAAATTATGGGGTTTAAGTCTTTTTTTCAATTTTTATCAATCACAGTTGTGGGAAATTATGGGGAAGGGTCAACAATATTTATTTAAATTACAGTAGATGCTCAGATTCAAAAAGTTAAAGCTTTATAATTATTAAAACACAAATTATCAACATCACATGGAAAAATATACACAGTAAATATCCTTGAATCAAATTCTACTAAATTCTCATGCAGCATTTTTACTTTATCTATTGGTAAATTTCTATTATTATTGATGGGCTTTTCTGTTCATTTGTGTGTACGGTGAAATTGACATTTACTGATATTTACCAATAAAAATCAAATCCTTCCAAGCCTAGCTATGATGCAGGTCTCAGAACTGGGAGGGAGACAAAGTAGAGAAAATGTAAAGGGTGATGGTAAAAGTCCTTATAATTCCTGCAGAGAGAGAGAAAAAGGACAATCCCTGTGCCAATGAGAGGCAACAAACAAAAAAAAGTATGTAACCAGGAAAATAAAACTACTACAAAAAGTACAAAGAACTATACATAGTTTTACATAAGGCCAAACAAATATTCCCTATGGAGATCATCTGAAAAGTTATCGGTTTTAAAGAATGCTAAACTATGTTCCACATGTTACAGAAAAACTTTCAGCTGATTCCATGCGTTAAGGACCTCTGTTCCATTTTGGCAGTCATGCCAGGGAATAAATGAATGAGTAAAACGGAAGATGGAAATCTAGAGATCAGTTCCTAGAGCCATCCTGCATTCCAAGAATAATTTTCCTAATGCAGAGAAGAGCTCAGCTGCTCAAGCACATACAATCTAAGGCCTACTCCTCTTCTCTTCCCTGCCCCACTCCACCCCTCTGGGAGGCAATGAATTTGCAGCTGGTTGGTGAGCTCTCTTAGCCATTGAGGCCCCATCTAGACAACACTTACAATGGGGGTACCTATTGATACCACGATTGTTCCCTGCCTCAGTTACAACACAGCTGAAATCTGTAGGGAACATAAGTTCCTGAGTACATTATAAATCTCAGCTGTGTTGCACCCAAGTCAGAGGACAATTGTATCATAAATGGGTTCCCTGATTTGTATCTGTAAGATAGAGAGGACTTAACAACAATGGATCTTGCATAACCATGAGTTGAGTTCTATACTCTCTTTAGCTCTTCACTCCTGACACTTCTTTCAGTTTTACTTAAGACATTTATTCCTTTGATCTCAAAAAGAAAAAAAAAAGGATTTAGTCTCACTTTTAACTTTAAAACCATCTCAGCAACAACCGCAAGATGCTAAAATACAAGTCTTTTTCACAGAGTATACCCTCAAACCAGAAAAGCTACATTTATTCCAAGCAATTCACTAATTTACTGTGTTGTACTCAGATATCAAACACAGATGTCCCCACTCTTTAAATAATAAGCTTGTAACACAAAGACAGGAAAGACAATTAAAACAAAGTAAATGACAAAACATCCTGAACTTCCAGCAACTGTGACTGAAAATGGCACAACAATGAGCAGCACCTGAGCAATGAATTTTCCAGTCTTTCACCAGTTGCATCGTAACTTTTACTGACTCAGTTTTAAAATGCAGACATTACATGGGAGCATGTTATGTACCATTCTAATCAGGAATAGGTTTCTCAGATAAATACACAAATACTCAGACTTCTTAAAAGTATGTTCTGCTGGACACTAGCACTGGTGTAAACTCTAGTAAAACTAGGGTTACCATATTAAACAAATAAAAAAAGAGGA